AACGATCGTATCCCATCACGGAAATTGTCGCGACTGAGAAAGATCGATTCCATGACAGATCGCGACTGTTTGTCCTCCTCCGCCTCGACGCAGTGATGCGCATCCAGTATTGCTTTCTCCGCGTCTCCATCACATCATGGTCAAGTTTGTCGTCACCGCGCTCGCCCTCGTCGCTAGCACTTTTGCGGCCGCTGCTGCTGTCGACACGCCAGCGATCGCCAAACTGAGCGCCGAGGCAGGCCAGACAACCCAAAACCTCCGCGAGGGTGGCCAGAAGGAGTGCTTTGGGTCGATCTGCGGTGGCGGTGGCATTGGTTGGGGTCTTGGTGGCTTTGGTTGGGGTCTTGGTGGCGGCTGCGGTCTCTTTTCGCCGTTCCGTTGCGGCGGCTGGTTCTAGACGCCACGTTTTGTGCCGAGCAATGAGCGATAGACTACTAACCGTCTATAAAATCAATGATTTGTCCCAGTCAGTTGGAACTTCATAGAAGTCGTTATTGTTCGATGTTGTTTGGCAGCGACGTTCACTGTGTTGACATGCAACACGTTCGAAAACCAAGGCCAGTGTTATGATCAAGGTTTCATTCCCTTGGGAATGGTAATGACGTCAATCAACATTAGTTGAGGTCTTAATCGGTCCATACCCTTGCACGAGCAAGATTTATTCCCTGTTTTTTTACGAATTCGGTGGGCGACTTGGATCGCAGTCGGTCGGTCGTCGGCAGTTAACGCGATGCAGTCGTTTGCGAGCTCAACGACCCACGTGGGACTGGAGGCGCCAAACGTGGGCTGGAGCGTGCCTTGGATCACGCGGTTGATGATCGCCGTGTCGACAAGCGGGTTGCCTATGTGGCGTCGCATTTACCTTATCTATCCATCGTCTTCTACCTCGCTCCGTCTGCTTATCCGTGTACGGGATGTGATGGGTGCAGAGCTCCGAGATGAGAATGCCAAACGAGTAGACGTCGGCGCTCGTCGTGTAGTGGTTTTCCTGGAGCACCTCGGGCGCCTACACTCACATCCTTGTTACAATCTTGTCGAAATGACATGATTGGTACCATCCAGCGGTACGTGCCAACGCCGACGGTCATGGTCTCCGTCGTCATCTCCTTGGAGACACCAAAGTCGGTGAGCTTGGCGCCCTAGTCGGTGCTCAATGGCAAGGTTTGGTCGTGCGACGTCGTGCCTTGACGGTATCAAGGAGGACGTTGCGCGACTTGAGGTCGCGATGGATCACAAACATCGAGTGGAGGTACACAAGGCCCTCCGCGACCGAGAGCATGAGCTGGATCTTCTCATCCCATAGAAACGACGTGTCGTCGGTCGCCTCGAGGACGGAGCGGAGGTCGCCTCGGTCCATCCACTCGAGCACCATCTGCAGCTCGGCGGGGATGCGCCAGCTCGCCCCGATGAGCTGGACAACGTACAGACTCTCGAGCCTAATGCGAGATGTATATCTTATAGAGGGTGACCGCGTACTTGCTGGCCAAGAGAATCTCGTCGACGAACGTGGCAATCGCCGACTGGGACGTGGCTCCTGACAGTAGACGCTTGAGCGCCACGGGATTTCCTGCGCGCCATTGAGAGATTTTCCGGGCGCACGGTATCGGTGGACCTTCATAAGTGCCGAGCCATACTTGCCCGTATGCGCCTTCTGCGACAAACTTGATCGCTGCGAGCGACTGGTGGTCGAGTCGCAGCAGCGCAAGGCTCTACAGTGAAACTTCAGCTCTTGTTGAGCCCGTTCGACGAACGTCAAGGCTAAAAACGGGATGCTCCGAGTCTGTCGCCTCTGTCTGGTCGAGTGCACCCCCCTTGGATCTACGACATCACATGAGCGATGTGGCGTTCGCAGCGTCGTAGCAACGATGACATGAGACGCCGGCGCCGCTGGACGAATAGAGCGAGACAAAGCCCGACGAGCGCGACAGCGCCGGCAACGATTCCTGCGATCGCAGCGCCACCCAAGGCCGTAGAATTTTCTGTTGAGCTCGCTAGCATCGAGCCTAGTGACGCTCGATAACCAGAGGAGGGAAACGAGAATAGGATAGTACCTGGAGTCACACACACGTTGGCGTGGGCGCTGAGGGGAAGGACCTTGTTGGGCGACTTGCACGTGCTGGAGACGTCAATCACGTCCAACGACAACGTTCTTGCCTGCCGAAGCGCGCCGTACGTCGTTGGGTCCACAACAAAATCTGTGATTCGGTTGTTGGTCAAGTCGCTACATCGGAAGATGAGGCAATCCAACGCTGCGACAGCGTACAAGTAGGTGAGGCCGCTGCCCAGAGAGACGTTGATGAACGTTGAGATCTGGTTGAGCCCCGCAGAGCTACGCCATGTCATTTACGATACTGCAGAAGGAGGTTCGGTACAAGGTCGTGACGTTGCGCAGATCAAGGTGCTCGAGGCGCGTGATGTTGTTGTTGAAGACATTCCTAAATGTGTGTTGGGTCAAGAAATCTGGAAGGCAAATGCGCACAGATAGGTCAGCCCCGTCAACCGCGCTGCGTTCGGAAGCGCCTGGATCTGCGCACCAGACAGAGTCCTACGGAACAATGTCACAATTGCTATAGTACGGTCGAGTAGGTATTACAGCTCGTGGAGGCTCATTGGCAGCTTCGTGTGGGCAACGCTGAGCGCTGCGTTGTTGTTGTTGTAGATATACCTGTGCAAATATGACGCAGTTAGTGTGAGCTAGCTCAAAAGTTCGGCGTACAGGGTTTTGAGGTTATTGACGGCCGAGAGGTCGTCGATCTGTCGAATCGAGGCGTTCTCAACGCGCCTAGAGCCAGAATGACGCCACTCAAATTACTGCGACCATCACCATCCCTACAGTTGAAAGTCGATCTTGACGCCTGGCTCGTCGGCCACACGCTGGATTGGATCTATTGCTCCCGTTAACAGGAGCTACTATGTAAGGCTTTGGACGTACAGGACACGGTGAGCTGGTAGCGCGCCGGGCTGGACGGGTCCAAGCTGGAGCTGAGGCGCAGGGCGCTCGCGTTGTACGTCTTGAGGAGCTGCTCACATTTATTGTCTTGGCGCGCCGTGTATTGGAAGCGTACTACCTTGCAATGGCTGTCGACAATGCAGTAGAGAACGTGCGGCTTGATGTCGGCGGGGCACCCGACGAACGTGGCGGTGGCGTCAAAGCCGCCAAAGGCGCACGCGTCCGCAGCAACAACCAGGGCAACGAGGTGCAGCTACAGGACGCCATGAGGCACGCCGCAAGACCGCTGCGTAGTACGAGGGAAATGAGCATCGCAAAATGAAGTCTGACAATCCGACGCACACGCAATCACATCAACCCATGCATGCAATCTGGACCAGTGTGGATGGTAGGTTGCGTGCATTTAGGCTAGCGTTGCACAGCTGCCAAGCACATGATGATGCAGAGAGAGCGTGCTTGCCACTGGCCGCCACGTAGTCGATGGCCATAGAGCGAAAGGTTGCCAAGGCCGGTCATCTACTAATCGCGGCTAAGGGCCTTGTCGTTATAACGTTTGCCATTTTCCGTTGGCGACAGTCTGCGTACACCCAACTTTGTGCTGGCGCGTCAACATCCCGCCAACACTAGCAGAGACGGTGGCCGGATGACTTGTCGGCGACATGCCACGAGTCCAATAGAGCCGCGCCTACCATTCCAATGCTTTACTAGAGAGGCAACTCCATGAAAATGAAGTCGTTTGCCCGTAATTGAACCGCCGCCGATCGCATGTCGTTGCGCGGTTGATTGCACCACAGAGCGGCAATTTCCCACTAATTCACACGGCCATATCCCACCATGCGCGGTGGGATTTCTCGTGGGTTTTCCACCATGCAATTCTCACGTGCAAATGCCACGTCGTTTCAGAGACCATCTGGCAGCGGTAGCTTGACGAGGTTGTTCCTGCGGGTTGACAGTTGCCAAGATGCTCGCCCGCCACGAGGTCCTCACGCCGGCGTCGCCCTACACGCGCGTGCTCGCCAAGGCCAACGGCGAGGCCATGGGCTGGCGCCGCAAGCTCGTCTTCTTCGCGCTCGAGACCTCGAGCGTCTCGTACTGGGTCGGCGGCCTCGCCTTCCTCCTCGGGTCCTTCTTCTTCTACCCGCGCGCAGGCTCCACGCCCGGCGACAGCTGGGTCGGCGCGTACTGCTACTTGCTCGGCTGTCTTGCCTTCTTGTGCGGCAGCTGCATCGACAGCTACGAAGCGCGCATCGAACACGTCGACGGGCCGCCGGGCTTGCTGCGCTTCGCACCGGTCGCTGCCAGCGGCTGCAACGTGCTCGGCTCGGTCCAGTTTGTCATCGGCGGCGTCTACTACTTGCCAAACTACTTTGCGATCGCGCCCACGTACGGCTCGTGGCTCTTCATCTCGGGCTGCCTCACGTTCTGCGGTGCGATCGCCGTCGACGTCGCGCGCCTCGCAACGTACTCGCACGCGAGCAGCACGCCCGTGCGCCGGCGCTGGTCGCAGATCCTCAGCCCTTGGTACCTCGTGTCGCTGCTCAATCTCGTCGGCAACATCTTCTTCATCGTCGGCGCGTACTCGTACCTCCCGCAGTTTGTTGCTTGTCATGACGCCGACGTCGCCCGCGTCAACCTCGCCTTCGCCGCGAGTCAGTTCATCGTCGGCTCTGTCTGCTTCTCCATTGCGCCGCTCGTCCAAATGTATGCGATCGACGAGGACCTGAGCTCGCCCAGCGTGCTCTTTCTCCAGCTCTAGAACAAGACGTGCCTCGACTTAGACGAGTGTAGTGTGTATATACGTGTATAATCTTATTTCGCTCATGCCATTCTCGTGCTTCTTGTCATGAACGCTATCAAAGTGAGGCAGGGTTCATGGACCCTCGAACTTAGCGGTGAGTGGACCCTTGCATGCAGTGTCTATCAGACCAATGCGAGGTCGCCAGCTGGCGACCAACATCGATCTAACAGCATATGCAACTCGTTATTGCACATCACGGATTGTTATAACATAGATCGCGACCCAGACGCAACATGCGGTGGCCATGGCTCGTGGCGGCCGCGCTTGGCCTCGCGCTCGCCGACGCTGGACGCTCGGCCTGTGAGGCTCGCATGCGCGACGCAATCCATGCTGACGCCCTATGCTACGCAAGCGTAGCCACGGCGGCGAGCCGCGAAGCCTGCCAACTTGGCGTTGACATTGGCGTCACGATCGGATGCCTCCACGCCAGGACGTTTGCGCACGAGCCACAGCACTGGCACATCGGGCACGGCAACGTACAGCGCGCCCAGGATGCTGCATGTGTCCATGCTGCCGCCGACGCGCCTAGGTGCGCAGAAAGCTTCGTCAGCACCGTCGAAGCCGTCTTCCATGCTCTTGCGCACGATGACGACGACGAATCGCCCACGGCGTACGTGCCGAGCGTGGTCGGCAGCGACGCCGGCATGCTCATTCGTCTATCGTTCCGTCTCGCGACCGCTGCGACGCGGTACTTTTATCTGGATGCTTCAATGGCCCCCCATCGCGCCGACGACGCGATCGCTCAGTGGTGCAGGGCCATGGCCGCCGACGACGTCGACTGCAGAGACCTCTTGCTGCGGCAGTACCACGGCTGGACGCAGGCGGGGCCTCTGTATTGGGAGCCGTCGCCAAGTCTCGTGGCCCACATCCCGCTCGCGATCGCCAACCAAACCCTCGCGCTGGCGCTGTACGCGCACGAGCCGTACCGAGACGCCGCGACTGCCTTTTGCTCCGAGCTCTCGGCCATGGACCACGACTGCGTCTGCGTTGCGATCGCGCTCTCTGCGATCGGGCGCGAGGTCGGCTCGTGGACAAGCGCGCTCTAGTACTTTCGGGCTAACTGGATTTTGAAGATATCTGATGAGTTTTGACACATTTGCGCTTTTGCCGAGATCGAGATGTGTCCTGCGCGCTTCTGCTACGTGACGTGGTGCCTTCTCGGCGTCCTCTGCGCCGGCATCGCCGTCGGCTTGCCGCTCTGGTCGACGAGCAGCCCGCCGAGCGTGACGCTGTCGGCGGCGACGCTGCGCGCCCGCATGACGGCGGGCGTCTGGGGCGTCTGCACCGAAGTCAACATTCTCTCGAACGCCACGTCCATGTCGGCAGCGACGTGCTTTTCCTTTTACCACGCGTCGCGCGGCGGCTTGCTGCTCCCCAACGGTGAGATGGTCGAGACGCACATGGACCCGCTCTGCTCGGCGCCGCCGACCGGCGATGTCGTCGCCACCATTGCGCGCCGCACGGCCGACCCAACGTTCCCAGTGTTTCTGCGCTCGTCGTGCGGGCATCTGGGGCGTGCGACGCTCGTTTTTGCCTACTTGGCGCCGATCGCTGGCGTCCTCGCCTTGCTGGCGCTGGCCTTTCTCTGCTGCTGCGGCACGCGCCGCCCGCGCGTCGACACGGCGTCGCAGTGCTTGGTCGGGCTCGCTTTTCTGAGCGCGCTTCTGACGGTTGTGCTCTGGACCCAGCAGCGCCCGACGGGCAGCTTTTTTGGTCCGTCGTTTTACCTGGCGATCGCTGCCGCCGTCTGCTTCTTCTTTTCGCTCGTCAGTTGCCGCTTCCACAAGCCGGAAGCGCCGGCGCCGGCGGCCGAAGAGCCGACGACGGACCGCGACACGTACGGCCGCTCCTTGACGCCGCCCACCGACAAGCACGACGATCGCGCGTAAAGGGTTATATCGTTAACGCTTTACAAGACATCGGTCGGCAGGGAGGTGTCGCAGAGGTTGGTCTTCTCGGCGCTCGAGCCGCAGAGCGAGTAGAGGCGCTAGACCAACGGCTCAGCGATGCCATATCGACAGGTTGTACCTCAAAGTACTTGGGGGCGCGGGACGGCCAGAGGAGGAAAATCAAAATCGAGTACGTGACAAACTCAATCCCAAGCGTGACCGAGTCGACAATCTACGAGTCGGTTCGTCAGGTACCAGCACGATGATGGCGCGACTACCTTCTCGCGCACCCATGGCGAGAGGAACGAGGCCAGCGTGACCATAAAGGGCACCGAGAGCACGTAGATGGCAAATAAGACACCCATCTACAGACCCTGCTTACACTCCGTTCGTCCGGGAGCAACCGTTCGTTGTACCTGAGTAAAGAATGCGCGCTTCTCGACCACGTCCTCCTTTCGACGGGTCTGCGAAAGCGTCGAGAGGAACCATACAAGCACAAAGCAGTGCAGCGCGCAGATACCGAGCCCTAGACGGAGTCAACATCCATAAATGCAACACATCCGTACCAGGCCACGAGTCGTAGAGGTACAGGGTCGAGGCCGGGTCCATCCCAATGAGGTACCACATGGCGAGGGAGACGTACAAGACGAGGAGCGCCACCATGACGGTCGTGAGCTTCGACCGGCCGTCGAGCGTAATCGAGTTGATGGTCCAGCCTTTCGCAATGAGCATCGCGAGGAGGAGCGTCAGCACATGCAGAACCGCTTGGCAGGCGCGGCCGAGGCCGAGGAGGAGCGGGATCCCAAACCCGTTCCATTTGAACGCTGTGAAATGCAAGGCGAGCATCGCGTTCGCAGAGAAGAAGACGGCGGCGATCGTCGTGAGGAGCTGGATGATCGGGTGGAAGGCTTCCGACCGGTGCAGTTGGCGCGCGGCCGTCATCTGCAAGGCGAGACTGATGCCCGAGAGGATCGCAAAAGCCGCGTAGACAACGTCGAGGTCTTCTTGGTACACGGGCACCTCGCTGCCATCGCCTTGGGTGAAGTGCAGGTAGAACCACGCAGTGAAGTAGTACTTGAGAAAGTCCGAGGGTGACATCTTCAAAAACGACGGCGTGTACGCGGCGCCACCGGGCACGCACTTGGCGAGCGCGACGTACCAAAAGCGCGGGCGTAAATGCTCTTCGAGGGAAAAGTTGAACTGGAACGCGTGCAGGTTGTCGGTCGCGCGCGAGACGTTGAAGACGTACTTGGTGTGCGCCGACGAGAGCTTGCAGTTGCAGTCACACGTCGCGTCGTCGTGGTTCATGATGTACTGCCAAAACATCGCTTCGTCGTCGTAGATGGCGAGCTGGACGCCGTCGTCCGGCGTGCGGATGCGTCCTTGGATGACGCCCACCGTCTTGGTAAAGTCCTCGTCAAAGCCAAAGCAAAACTTGCCGATATACGAAAACTCGCGGCCAATGTTGAAGCCCGAGAAGACGCTGGCCGACGCCGTCGTAAGGAGGAGCAGCAGCGCGAGGAGCATCGTACTACGGCGCATGCTGCCAACCGGTCGTCTGCAAAAGTGACCTCGAATGGCATCGCCCCTAGAAAAAGGCCATGGCTCGTTTTTCGAATCGGATCTTATTTTTCGTCGTACGCCCCTTCGCGCGCTGGGTGCACTTGTCTCGGATACAGTATAGCATACAACCCCCAAGCTTGTTTCGAGGACCACCTGGCTTTTTGACGGGCAAGGTGCGTAATGCATGGTCGACGCAGAGAAGTGGGCCGCGTACACCTCACGTGACGTGTCAATGACGTCGCCGCACTTTGCCCTTGCACTCCACCTCCAAGATCGCCGCGAGCTCGACGCGGCGGCGAGGGCGGTCGGTCGCCGTCGTCACCGAGCACGTTGGTGACGTTGAATCGGCGCGGCTACTGAAATGCCACTCTCGTACAGTGTACTGTGCAAGCGACTCTGTCGACAGATCGAGGAGCAAGCGACTGGCTAGAGAGTGCGCGCGCACCTTCTCTGCCGCGGACGTCGTCGCTTGTCCTCGTCCTCGAAATCAAAAAAAATCGTGGAAAACCCGAGGTAATTCAATAAAAATGATATGTGCTTGGGCCTTCAACCACGCGGTGCCGAATATTCGCTGCATCGCGTCGTCGGTTCTTTCCCGCGTTGGATGGCGCGGCGATTCTTCGAAGGAACAAGAGTGGGCCTGGTCATAGACAAGCTGGCTGGGCCAGTTTCCGGATACTATCCGGACCGCAAAGGCGCGAGCCAAGATGTGTGTGTCAATCTGCCTTTTTTCGCCCGACGAGCCATGTCCCGCTACGTCGCGACCGACTCGGAGCGCAGCTACAAGGAGTACGACGGAAGCGACCACGTCCTCGATGGTAACTCGCACCAACGACATGCAGGCGCGATAGGAAGCGTAGGCGAAGACGAGCTGCGCATGGCCGCGCGCGCCGGCATGCTCTTGCTCGAGAAGAACGCCGAGCTCGAGTACTCGATCGACGCGCTCAACGCTGACGTTTTGCGCTACCAGCACCAGTACCGCGAGCTCGAGATCGAGGTCGAGGTGCTTCGCGATCAGCGCAAAGAAGCCGTGCTCGAGGTGCAGGTGGCGCACCGGGACATCAAGCAGCTCAAAGCCCAGATCCTCCACGAACACGCCGAGTGGGAGAGGATACATGATGAGCTCCAGGACACGATCCACCAGCTCCGCACCGACCTGCACCACGCCAAGCTCAGCGGCGGCTCGTCGACACTGGATTCGGAGAACCAGAGCGACGACGGCAGCAGCTACTACGTGCCATCGTCCTGCTCGCTCTCGTCCGTCTGCAACGAGGCGCCGCAAGCCCACATGATCGAGATGGACGTCTACGACGACGTGTGCTCGGAGAACGCGGAGCTGCACGCGCAGCTGCGCCGGGCGCACGAAGAGTTGACCTCGCTCCACCACGAGCGGGCGCGGGCGCGGACCATGGAGGTCCAGATCAAGAACCTCGAGCACCAAGTGCTCCAAGTGCAGCGCGAGAAGAGACTGCTCAAGGAGGAGCAGGACGAGGAGCGCCTCTTGATTGAGAGTCTCCGCGCGATGGTGCAGACGTACAAGGTACTACTACCTATCACCTTGTCTCTGCCACCTTCTTGTTCTCAGTCGGTGACACAGAAAATCGCCGACGCGCGACCGTTCTCGATCGAGTGCTCTTGCGCGCTGACCGACGACGAGGCCGAGGGCGCGCCGACCGCGCCGTTCACGTCGGACATGCGCGGCCCGCACTCGCTCCATGACGACGTCGTCCAGGTCAACTTGGCGCTCAAGGACGAGATCGCGTCGCTCAAGCAGCAGCTGGCGGCGGTCGAGGCGCTGCCGCCGCCGCCGCCGGTCGAGTCGGACTCGATCCTTCGGGACAAGGTCGAGGACCTCGAGGCACGGCTAGAGGTGACGGTCGACACGCTGCGGCACACGAAGCAGCAGTGGATGACGGCGGTCGTCATGCAGAAGGAGGCGCAGGAGTGCTGCGAGGCCGCGCAGGCCGAGATCGACCGCTTGACCGAGCTCGTCCAGCACCACGTGCGCACGCTTGGTGCCGGCAACCCACCGCAAAAGACGTCGTCGGACGAAGCCGAGTGGGTGCAGGACCATGGCGTGCACCCCGCTCCTCCAGGTGGGTCCCTCTTCGTCTCTCGTGCGTCGTGGGTGGCTTCTCGGGTCTCCGCGGCGCCGCTTCTTGTGGCTCTGGCGTCGATGCTGATCGTGTGTCTTGTCTCTTGGTTAAGGTGACTTGAACTCGCCGCTGATTCAGTGCCTGCTCGAGCACTGGACGCGCGACAAGGCCCAGCGCAAAGCGCTCTCCGAGTGGCTCCAGGGCGCGATCTGCGAGAGCCGACAGGGACCGCCGACGCTGCGCCTCGACAAGCTCTCGAGCGAAGTGAGCGCGGGCTTTGTACAGCTTTTGGTGCCGATCCTGCGCCAAGTGCACGGCGTGAACGTGACCATCATGAAGCGCGCGTCCATGCACGTGCTCTCGGACTTGATCCTCGACGTCTCCAAGGCCAAGGTGCCGCTGGCCGCGACGAACCCGGCGTTGATTGCAGACCGCCTCGTACGCCTCGCCACTTGTAGCAATCTCGTTCCTCACCGTCGAGAGATGTAGAAGCGCGAGCGGGCGCGGCCTCTGTCGCTCACGTCGGCCTCGTTTGCGCTGCCGCCGTGGAGCCTCGGCGTCCTCGCGTAGACGTTTAATTATTGTAAATGACCACCACCCTTGGCCACCACGTCGTGCAACCACTAGTACTGCACATTGCGTTGGGGCTGGCTACACGGTGGTGCTCTAAGATTGCACTAAGATCGCAACGGCCTCGTCCCAGCGCCCGTGTCGCTGCAACCGGCGCCTCTAAGCCCTGTCTCTCTACGCACGGCGGCGTCGAGTAGGTGCGCAGGTCGAGTCCCACGCCGTGTCTCGGCCATGGGCGGGAGGTCGTCGTCGAGGCCAGATCTTGGGCTCTGCGCGGTCGCGTCTGATTGGTCGAGAGATGACTGGGGGTTTGTATGCGACCATTTGCTCGAAAGCCGCCATGCGATTCCTCTGGACGTGCTTGCTGCTGCTCGTGTTCGCGATCGCCGCGTCCGCCGAAGACCTCTACGAGCTCCTCGGCGCCAGCTCCAGCGCCACGTCGCAGGACCTCAAGCGCATGTACGGCGTATCGGCGCATCGCTGCAAATGGTCTCACTTGCATTGCTTAGCTACCGCAAGCTCTCGCTCAAGTACCATCCCGACAAGCAGGCGCCCGAGGACCGCGAGAACGCCAAGACGCACTTTGTCAAGATCGCCAACGGTACGTGGCAGCGTCTCCTGCAGAGAGGCTCCATGTGCTGTAGCCTACCGCGTCTTGTCGGACCCGGAACGCCGCGAAAAGTACGACCTCTATGGCATCGCCGACGACCAAGGCTTCAAGTACGACGACCTCCATGCATGGGCGTCACGCGGCCGCGTAGGAACTTTGACGAAGCGTACAAGTCGTCGCATGACAGCTACGAAGACACGCCGCTCAACACGATCGCGCTCGTCGTCATCTGCCTCCTCGGCCTCGTGCCCATCCTCCTCATCAAGGCCAAGGGCAAGCCCAAGACCGTCAACAACGCGCGCCGCGAGGCCTTGCTGGCGACGTCCAAGGCCAAGACGCCCAAGCGCTCGGCCAAGGCCGACTAATCCCCGACGATTTTTGGACGCTTTTTTGGAGACACGCGCGCTTGTGCGAAGATAGATATATAAAGCGTCAAGGAGGTGCCTAGAGAATCGTGGTCGTGGTCGTCGGCGCGTGTTCGAGGTCGGCGAGCCGCTTGGCCTGCGCGACGACGGCCTCTTCGTGCTTGTTGGCCATTTCCTGGAACGAGTTCATGCAATACTCGGTCATCATGCCGGGCTTGGGCGCAAAGGCTTCGCAGACGCCAATGTTCTCGATGGGCTTTTCCCGCCGGCCGTAGTCGCTCGGGATGTGCATCGACTTCATCATGTCGTCGAGTGCGACCTCCTTCCCTGCGCGCGACGGTGGTAGCCGCTCAATGTACGACTTGACGCGGCACGTGCCCGGGGTCGTGCCCTTTTGCACAATGATCCTAACTCGAATCTATCAACGTATCAAGCTGGACGGGCACGTACCAGGCTTGTTGGTTGGCCAAGAGCGTCATCGGGTCGCGCGGGTAGAGTTCGTCTTCCATGATGGCTTTCCAGACAATCACGACGCGGTCCTTCTCATAGAAGCGCTTGAAGAGCACTTGGCCGATGACATTGGCGCGCGACTTGCCGAAGAACGGGCACTCGGTGCGGCCTTGCTTGCACATGATCTTCTCGCAATAGCGTGTGTTGTCGTCCAAGGCCTCGAGGAGCTACGCAGAGATGAGACTCGGCGCCTCGGGCCGCGAGACGTACGTCGCCCACGTTCTTGATCTCGTCGGCGATGTTGGTCGTGCACACCTGCCACGTGGCCTCGGCGACGATGTCGTACGTCCACGGCAGCGTGTGGAAGCGGATAAAGTCGATCGAGATCGTCTCGTCGTCCGAGCGGCAGCTGATCTTGGACGACTTGATCTCTTCCTTCGGGTCAAAGAGCCCCGAGCGCACGAGGATGCCGTCGAGCTGCTCGTACTGCTTCTCCATGATCATCTTCATAGCGTGGCGCCGACCGTCGCGGTCCTTCCCGAGCTTCGAGAGCTTCCACTCTTCGTTGTCGAGCATCGAGGGAAACGAGAGCCGCGGCTTCTTTGCAATCATCGACTGCAGCGCCTCGGCAAACTTGAGCTGCTCTTCGAGCGCCGACTTGAGCTTGGCGTTCTCTTGGTACGCCTTCTGTCGCTCGAGGAACTGGGACCGGGCGAGCTGCTCCCACTGCGAGCCGTGCTCGCCCTCGAGCTCCTTGATCTTCTTGAGCATCGAGAGCTGCGAGTTGAGGTTTGTCACTTTCTCGCGCAGGTACGAGAGCTCGTCCTTCTGGCGCAGCCGGTGCTTCTTCGAGGCCTCGGCCAGCTGCAACTTGCGCTTGAGGTTCGGAGGTTGCGGCGACGTGCCACTCGTCGAGTCCTTGTCACTTGTCGAGCACTCGCTCGGCTCGGACGTCATGTCGTCGACGTCGTCGTTGCCACCAAGGCCGGCCATGAGGTCACCGAGGTCGAGCTGGATGCTGGTAGTCGTGGTCGCAGGCAAGGTCGCCGGCGCCGGCAGGTCCATCATCGGCGGCGGGGCCATGGCCTGCCCCGACATGAGGAAGCGCAGGAGCGCGTCTTCTTCGACCGCGTTCATGGTCGTCTGGGCGAATGGGAGAGTCGTTGCCGAGGAGCGCTGGTTCTCGGGACGCACGACGAAGGCCTCTGTGTAGCCCAGGTGCTCCTGTCGTGGTATTTATTCTCTATATTCAAAGTTGACTCCATTCAAGTAGGCAGCGTCATAATATATAGCATCCTGTCCCTCGACGACAAAGGCATCCAGCTGTTTATTAAGACACTGTTTCCCCGAAATGGCTAAATGGACGCAACGCTACTTGATACTTGTATCGAACCCAACGCGGTTGCCACTACAAAGCACTGGATACCACTATTCCGTGTCCCCCGTCCTAGTGCCAGGTGCAGGACGAGGTGTGGGACATGGGCAGCGGCGATCTTGCTTGGTCCAATCCACGTGCCCATAGACACGGCCCGAGCTGCAAGGCAAAGACGATGTACGTTGCATCTCGGACTGTCTACGCGATTGTGCTGGGGTCCCAGCAGAACTTGCGGCGGCCGACGCGGGCGACGATGGCGTCCAAGGCCGCGACGTGGGCCTTCTCCAAGACGACGCTGGCGGCGGCGAGGTTCTCGCGGAGACGCTCGGGAGAGCTGGCCTTGGGCATGACGACGCAGCCGTGGTGCAGTGCCCAGGCAATGAGCACCTGCGCCATTGTGCACCCGACGCTCTGCGCGACGGCGTGGACCTCGGGAAACTCGGTCGCGTTGAGGAGCGTGCCCTCGCCGAGGCACGTGTACGCCTCGACCACGATCGCTCTCGTCGCGCAGTAGTTCAGTAGCGCCTGCGTCTCGGGCGTGAACAGCAGCGGGTGGAACTCAAACTGGTTGACGTGGACTGGGTACTCTTCAATGCCCTCAAAGTGGACAAGGTTGAAGTTGGAGACGCCAACGGCCTTGAGATGTCCCGCTTCGAACCCTTCCTTGAGCGCACGCAGCGTGCCGACGCGGTTGTCCTTCTGGCGCGGATCGTCCGTGCGCATGCCTTGCGTGCCAGGCCAGTGCACAAGCATGAGGTCGACGTAGTCGAGGCCGAGGTCGCGAAGGCACTGGCCCACGCACGTCTTGGTGTTGTCGTAGCCCATGAAGCGCGGCGAAACTTTGGTCGTCACGAAGAGCTCCTGGCGGGCGACGACGCCTTCGGCGATGAGGCGGCGGATCGCGGCGCCAACGAACGTCTCGTTCTGGTATACCGCTGCCGTGTCAATGTGGCGGTAGCCTAGACGGACTGCGTCGTAGACGACGCGCTCGGCATCCGCGCCGCGCAGGCGGTAGGTGCCCACGCCAATGGCTGGGATCTCGGCGCCGGTCGCAAGCTTCACGAACTTCATCCTGTTTGTGGACCGCTGGCTGATCTTGGTGGTCTAAAAGAACACAACTGTTTCTCGGCACGCCCAGCGCTATCATTTCGAGAGCATGAAGAGACGCGCATGTCGCCTCTCCAAGCAATGTACTGGTGTGATAAACTCTAGCGTGTCATGTCTTACCCGTACACACGCTGACAATGTCAGCGAGCAGGCCCAAGCACCTTTAAGTGGCGTGATTCTATCCAAGATGTCGACAAAAAAGGGTGCTGCACTTGACATTGGACCAACAGTGATGAAGGTCGTGCACGGGTTGCTGCTCAAGCATGGGATCGCCGAGCGCCTGCAGTCCGTGGTGGCGACCGCCAAGCCGTTCCGCGTCCTGGGCCTCGACATCAACACCAACACGACCGGCTACGTCGTCCTCAACGAGCGCGGTACGATCGACGGTGCAGCCGTCTTCTTGCCTCATGCTGCTGCGCAGGTCGCCTCGCCGACGCTGGGCACGTGTCGACCAAGCACCTCTCGAGCGAGAGCCAGATCCTGGACATTGGCGTCGACATTGCATCGACGCTGCAGCGGCTTCATAGCACATCGGAGACGCTGCCGTGGGTCGTTGGCATTGAAGACTTTTTGAAGACGTACGCGGGCGGCCGCTTCCACACCAAAGGGCTCTTCCAGCTCGCGCAGCTCAACGGCCTCGTGTCGTACTCGTGCTATACGACCTTTGGGGCGCGCCCGCAGCACGTGCACCCGACGACGGCGCGCGCACTCTTCCGCCTCGCCAAGCCCAAGGACACCAACAAGCAAAGAAAGGATGCGATCAAGCACATTGTGTTGGACTTCGCGCTCGCGATGGAGCCGGCGCTGGTACGTCCCGAGGCCCCCGCCAGCTTCAAGTACGACGTCGCCGATGCCTATGTCATCGCGCTCTTCACGTACTGGCGCCACATCGCCGACCTCGCGCTCGCGGCCGACGCCGCATGGACGCAGTCGGTGACGGCGGCGACGAACCTCGCGCTGGCCAAGCCACTGGCGCGCAAGGCCGCCGCGGCGCCCGAGCTCGATCTGCAGGCGCACGTGGCGTCTCTGCTTCGGGCGCACGTCGAGCAACACATCAAAGATACACTGCCGCCTCGAGCGTTCGCACCCTCGACCTACTAATATACTAATGTTTATGCGTCCGAGAGGAGGTACGCGACGCGGCTCTTCTGCTTCTGGACGGCCACGTCGACGGCCTTCTCAAAGGCGACCTCGACCGCGCGGAACGAGTCTTCGATGAAGGTCGTGACAAAGGTCGTTGTCCGGTGGTCGAGGCTGATGCTGGGCATGATGTACTGGAAGATGTCGTCGAGGTGGAGGAGCTGCCCGCGCGCGTCGGCGAGTGGCGCTGAATAAATAACTTGTAGAGGGACTGGGTCGGGTTCTTGGCGTCGGCCTCGATGACCATCCAGCCGCTTTGGTGGACGCGCATGACGTTCTCGTCCAGCGGAAGCAGCTCGTCTTCGAGGACGGACTTCCATACAATGACGACGCGGCTCGGCTCGAAGTAGCGCCGGTAGAGGTACCGCGCGGCGACCGTGCCCGAGACGTCGGCCAGGACGTGCTTCGGGACGTACTCGACGTAGACCGTGTTGGCGTCGAGCACTTGCAGCGTCTTGTAGTTCTTACACCACTTCTCCGTGATGCCCTTGCCCAGCGAGACGTTCCACGCGGCCTCGGCCAAGATGTGGTGCGGCACCGCCTTGCGCGCGAACCGGACGCTTTCCCCGAGGAGGTTCTTGTTCTCCATGGATGAGCACACGTTGAGGCGGTGGACGTCGCCCGCGTGCATCTCGAGGAGCCCGCACTGGAGGTAGACGCCCGTGAGGAGCTTGTACTGCCGGTCAATGAGCGCGTTCATGCCGTGGAGCCGCTTCGCCGAGTCGGCCACGAGCAGCAGCGTCTTCCACTCATCATTGTCAAACACCTAGAGAAGCGTGAGCGCAGGCAGCGAGGAGGCGGCGGCGTACGGCGAGGCGCGGGCGCTTGGCGAGGAGGTCCTGGACCTCGGCGATGAAGTCGTGGTCGTCGGCGGCCATGGCGTCAGCGCTGCGCTTGCCGCCGAGCATGGTCGCCCAGTTGAGCGCGAACGAGGTGTCGACGGCCTTCATGTCGGAGAGCAGCTGCAGGTGGGCTTCGAGCGCGGCCTCTTCCTGCGCGCTGTTGCTGTTGTTGTCGTCCTTTCCCGGCTCCATCGTGACTGCAATTTGTTGCCTGCCGAGGCTGCGGCCAATCAAATCGCGTCGTTTCAAATGATGCCAAATGGCACGGCCGCGGATTTGTCATCAAAACTGGCCCGCGACCGTCGATGCTTCCCTCGTTGTCGTTCTTTATTCGAATAGAAGGACAATATTGTGCACAGGAAGAGCAACTAGAGTTGATGCTGCAGTGGGCATCAACGTCGGCTACGGACGATGCACAGGGGACAGAAAAGACGAAGCGCGTGTTTGAGCAATCACACCACGCCCGATCTTCCTCGTGGCTGCGGCGGCGGTGGCTCCGGAAAGCTCCTCGTCGTCGTCTCTTGTATATCTTCTAGCAACATGAAATTCCATGCACTCAAGGACACAATTGATGCGCTTGATCCATCGACTCGTCGATAGCAGGGCAGTTGTCTGTTGTGTTCGTTTGTTGGGTAAATGCTGCGAGAAGGCATTGGGATGAACGAGGAGATAACCGACACCGATGCACTGGTGATGCAATGTTGCCGCTCGCGTCGAAGGCAGCGTCTTCGATCATCTCTGAGGTTTCGATACTGGTCCGTCAATGGCGACACTCAGCTATAGAGATGGCCGATTTGACGCAGTGGACGAGGGTTTCCAAGACCAAGATCTTTAATCACACACGTTATTTCATAAACGAAGCGCAGGGCACGCCGATTTTCACAGTATTCCTTCGACACCGACCCGCCTCGCCCTACACCAACTCCAAGGTTGTTGTTGCCCATAGTGGCTCGGTCTTGGGTGGGCTAGCTTACACTGTAATGCAATTGTATGTGCAAATGTATGTGATTCAAAACGATTACGACAAAACGCTAGCTCACAACTAGGCCATGGCCGCAAGCATGGTCACGGCCGCCGCAGTGAGGGCGACGCCGGTCGCGGCGGCGCTGCTGGGCTTGGTCGGAGCAGGCGTCGTCACCGTGTTCGACGAGTTCGACTTGGACGTTCCATTGCCAGGCGCCGCCGTAATGGTCGAGTTGGCAGATTTCGTCGAGTTGTTCGCGGGAGCTGCCGTGGATGCACCCGGCGCCGACGGGCTACCGCCAAGGGCCTTGAGCATAGCGGCGATGCCGGAGGAGACCTCGACAGACGTGAACGTCGAGGTTTCGACGCCACCGATCGAGCACGGAGGTGCAATCTTCGAGACCTTCTCTTGCATGGTCGCATAGAGGTCCTTGCACGCCTGCGTGCTAGCGAGCTTCTTCGCTTGGTCGGCCGTCGGGGCCGACCCAGTAGCGATCAACATGAGGTTGTAGCCCGAGGCATCCGTGCAAGCCGGGATTTGCGCCTGGAGAGGCGTCAGCGTGTTGAGGAGCGACGGGATCGAGCACGGGTCCGAGGCCGTCACGGTCGAGGCGGCAATGGCGAGGAGGAGCGTCGACGTCTTCATGATGAGGTGGGTAGTTGTTGGTGGCAAAGTGAATTTGATAATGGGAAAAGCTCTGGTCGCGTTCACCGTCCATGCCCGAGCCTTTACCGAGTTGAAGAATCTGTATCTCGGAGAGACAGCTTTTCTTCAAGCTATGGGGGAAGAGAGACTCTCCCCAATAGCTTGCCCAATGATTGGGCAAGTTATCAGGCAGCGCGTCGAGAGACGCAACAGTCTGTTCACCGAAACGATCCAACAGCAGGAGAACGAGAGCCTGTACCCAAAATGGCCTGTACCCTGGCCTGTACCCTGGTCTGTACCAAGGTGGTAAACTGTACGAAGGCTTGAATCTGGGTCGTGGTAATTCAAGGCGCAGGTCATAGTCGAATCTACAGTAGGTATGGTTATTGGAGAGCGCAGGACGTTGCCCGACAGTTCATCGATGGATCTTCCCAGCCTGAGCTCCACCGTGGTTGGTCTGTGCGGGAACAGTGGGAAGACGTCAAGGAAAACGCGGACGAGCGAGCTCAGTTTAGCAAATATAAAGCACGTTGCATTGGGTAATACATCTCGTCATAAACTACCTGACAAGTTCTAGAGTAGAATGAGTAAAAGGGGCGTAACCCACTTCCTCCGTGCCAGTTTACGGTACTAGTGCACTTATTGTGCACGTCATTCGTCGCCTACCGCGAACCGGTGCAATGTAATTTCTCTGGGCCGACTCTCTATCGCGAGTGCTCTCTCCCAGCTCTCTCTTTTCTAGGAGGCCTTGTCCTTCCTCGCCAGTTGGGTAGCACGTTGAAAATTCATGCTCGGTGAAATGAGCTCGGCATTAGGGCGACTTCTGTTGCTCATCACAGACAGACTCAAGGTGGGAAAGCAGCTGCATGCAACGTTGTGTGCATAGGCGACGACAATACATCACCGTTCGTCGCTATCGTCCTCGATGATTCATCGAGGACGACCAGAACTCCGAGGACGCGAGGGCGAAACGCTCGAGGACGGCTTAGCCGGCTCAGCACGGAACCTGAGAATACTTTCAAAATCACCTTGCAACCCTCAACCAACCACCTCGCCATGAAGACGTCTGCACTCCTCCTCGCCCTCTCTGCTTCGGTGTCTGCTGCCTCGAGCCCGTGCGCGATCATGTCGCTTGTTGGCACGTTGACTCCGCTCGCCGCCCAAATCCCGGCCTGTAAAGACGCTTCCGGCTACGACCTCTTGCTCATGGCGACGGGCACCGCCCCGACGCAGGAACAAGTGCAAAAGCTCAGCACCGCCAAGCCGTGCCAAGAACTCTTCACGGCGATGCAAGCCAAAGTCTCTGCGCTCTCGCCGCCGTGCGCCCTTGGTGGGCTCGAGAGCTCCGAGTTCTCGACGGTGTCGGTCACAGACGCCGTCGCTGCTTTCTTGAAGGCCCTGGCCGGCAGTCCCTTGGTGCCGGGCAACTCGACGACTGGTGGCAACGGCACGTCCAAGAACTCGTCGGATTCGATCACGACGCCCGCCCCGTCCAAGGGAAGCAGCGCGACGACGACTGGTATCGCGCTCACCGCTGCCGCAGTGACGATGCTCGCAGCCATGGCCTAACTCCAAGCGAATATTACTTGTTTTGATATTGAATATAAACCCGTCTATAATTTCCACGAAAATCCATCTCCAAATCTCTTCAAGCTTCTCTACCCCATGACCATACTCCCACTGTCTCGTTAGACGCGCACGGAATGGTGCGCAATCGCGTGCTGACGCCTCAACCCACGCTGTCAGGCATGCAGAGTCGGTGGCGTCGGTTGTGTTATCCTCCACCACCTCGAAAAGCTCGTGGCTGCGTCGCTACAAGGGACACCGCCTAGTAAACTCCCCCTCCGAGAGACGACACCTTCAAAATTGCAGGCCATACATTAACGAGTACTTTACAAGACACTAGAGGGACAGAGGGCGACGGGTTCACAGCGACATTTCGGCCTGCGTGAGCATAAAGTCGTGGCGGTGATGGTACGTGAGCTTGCGCACGGCCACGTCGATCGCCTTCTCAAAGGCGACCTCGACCCCGCGGAACGACTGCACGATAAAGTCCGTGACGTGCGTCGTTGTACGCTTCTCGAGCGAGATGTTGGGCATGATAAACTGGAAGACGTCCGTGAGGTGGATGAGCTTCCCCGCGCGCGTCGGCGAGTGGCGCTGTACAAAGAGCTTGTAGAGCGACTGGGACGGGTTCTTGACGTCGCCTTCGATGACCATCCAGCCGCTCTGGTGCACGCGCATGACGCTCTCGTCGAGGGGGTAGCACTCGTCTTCCAAAATCGACTTCCACACAATGACGACGCGGTTGTCCTCGTAGTAGCGCCGGTAGAGGTACCGCGCGCAGAGCACACCGGACGCATCTGCAACGCCGTTCCGGGGCACGTACTCGACGTACACCGTGTTGGCGTCGATCGTCTCGAGGATCTTGTAGTTGTCGCCCCACTTCTCCGTGATCTCGCGCCCGAGCGAGACGTTCCACGCCGCCTCCGCGAGGACCGGGTACGGGACGTTCATGCGAACAAAGCGGACGCTCTCGCTAATGAGCATCTTGGTGATGTCCGAGCAGACGTTGACCTTGTGGATGTCGTCGTCGTGCGGCTCGAGGAGGCCGCATTGGAGGAAAACGCCCGTGAGCATCTGGCGCTGGCGGTGCAGGAGCGCGTTCATGCCATGGATGCGCTTGGACGGGTCGGCCACGAGCCGGAGGGCCTTCCACTCGTCGTTCTCAAACACCTAGGCTGTCGATGAGCATGAGGGGCGAATGATAGACGACGTACGGCGAGGCGCGGGCGCTTGGCGAGGAGCGACTGGAGCGTCTCAATGAACTCGCTCTGCTCGGCGACCTTTTGCCGGAGCTTTTCGTTCTCGGCGGCCGACTCTTGCGGTGCGACGCGAGGTCCCGCG